ATTAGGAGTTTCCGGTAGTGTGGTATCGTGCAAAGGGGATGGATGGAACAAGCGCAGCAACATTCCGTGACTTGGTGCCTGTGAGGCTTGCTTCTGCTGTTTGGGACACCATTTCAATGTACAAGACAAGTATTCCCAACTTCCCACAAAATGAAACATGTGATTTGCTCATTGTCGATCGATCTGTCGATCTGGTAATTAATTAATAACTAATTGCTAATTGCTAATTGCTAATAATAATATTAGTTACTGTTTGGTAGCATTTGGACCAAATAAAATATGCTTATATCAAATTTATTTAACCATGCATCTTTCTTTTTAGATTTATATTTATTCATAAAAAACATGACAATGAAATGTAATGATACATTTCATTACCTTTTGCTCGTTCCATTACATTGTCCATTTCATCATATCAAACAGACCCTTAGTTTGTTTTGTCTAATGGAATGGAATAGCAGTCACACATTCCATATTATTAGTTTTAATTCATTAGGCACAGGATGTGACATGACCCGTTTTTTTATATATAATGTTTGATGAAACACATTTTACTAAGAAAATTTCCATGATTTGAATTAAAAAATTATTTATACTTTTTGTAAATAACACTAGTTTTTGTTGTTATAGTCTAACTTGGGCTTTAGTGACCTTCTATTATGTTTAATTTTGAAGTTCTGTAAATAGTAAATAATTAATTATAATTAAATGATCTATAGAATAGCGTTAAAATAAAGGCTATTCACTAAAATAACCAAAAAAATGGGAAGGTCATATTACAAAATGACCATCTATTTATCCGAATAACTTTTTTCGTCAAATTACTTTATTAGTGGTCCCCACTGTGAAAATATTAAAAAAAAAAAATCGTGAATTCTTTTTCACAAAACTGACACCATTATTAGGTGAAATTACATCATTTTCGTGATTTTTGATTTATCATTTTATAGTTTTTGTAGCGGGGACCCAATAAAGCAAAATTTCTAGAAAGAAAAGAAAAAGGTATTTTGTGAAATAGTTGGTCATTTTTAGTGATTAGCAATAAAACTAAACCTTGTATTTACATATATTATAGAAGAAAAAAATCATATAAAAATTCATTCTATTCCTACACACCAACCAAACATGATCATGCAATGTAATAACTCATTCCTTTACCTCACTTACTCCATTAACATTTCCATTCCATCAAAGCAAACAGACTTTTATTGTTTTTCTTTATCTATTTTGTTATAGATTTTGACATGTTATACAATTTCAGATTGCACCAATAATTCACGAATGGACATATGATGCCATGTGTCATGATCTTCTAGACTTGGATGGAAACAAATATGTGCAGGAAGTCCCTAATAAATCCGGTGGAGACCCTCAAAGAAAAGAGTTCCTTCTAGAAGATCACGATCCAGTTTGGCTTGAAATGCGCCATTTACATATAGCCGAAGTACATTTTTTCTTTTTCCTTTTTTTCTTCACTTGAAAATATATGATAATAAATTTGTAATGTCTTGTCTTTTCTTCTTGTGACATATCAGGCTAGTGAAAAATTGAGCGACAAGATGCAAACCTTCATGTCAAAAAACAAAGCTGCACAATTACAACAAAAGTTGGTACTTTCATTTATTTGTTTATTATTACAGTATCCTACTTTCATTTTTTTTCCTATTACTATATTGTACTTTGAAAAATCTACTCAGTTATAGCAATGTCATCCAGATATACAAAGCAATTTTTACTGCTATAACTGTGTAGATTTTTCAAAGTATAGCCTCCTAATAAGAAACAAAGTGAAAGTACAATGCTATAGTTGGATATATATATATATATATATATATATATATATATATATATATAGGAAAATGTCTTAAACAGACAAAAATTGAAAGTAGGTTGCTATAATACACAAAAAATATGACTTTGGTGCAGAGATAATAGTGAGTTGTCTACTCGGGAGATACAGAAGATGGTTCAAGCTTTGCCTGCTTATAATGAACAAATGGAGAAACTTTCACTCCATGTAGAGGTCTAATTCTTCCTTTTCTACTCTCTCTCTATCTATATATATTTAGTATTAATTGGTATAAATGAAAGAAATAGCAGCGTACTTTTCTTGATTTGTTTATCGTAGCATTCTACTTTCATTTCTTCCTTTAAAAACATTCTACTTCATAAGTTTACCTAATTATAGAAATGTCATCCAAATGCAAAGCAATTTTCACTGCTATAATTGGTTAGGGTTTTCAAATACAGTGCCTAATAAGGAATAAAATGAAAGTAAAATGCTCTAACAAAAATGATTTCTTAATAGAAAAAATGAAAGTATGATGCTAAAATAAACAAATGAACAAAAGTGTGTTGCTATTTCTTCCATTTGGATTCAGTTTGCTGATTTATTTGGTGTTTTTAATCAGATTGCTGGAAAAGTCAACAAAGTTGTGAGAGATGAAGGGCTGAGAGATCTTGGTCAACTTGAGCAGGATCTTGTCTTTGGTGATGCTGGGACAAAGGAACTCATTCACTTTTTAAGATCATATCAGGTAACTTATATATATACATATAAAAGGCTGAAGGACATTTTGTTAAATATGATATTTGTCTCTGGCTAAGAATAAGATAATCTTATACTTGTTACAGCACACAGATACAGAATTCAAGTTGAGATTATTGATGATTTATGCAATGGTTTACCCTGAAAAGTTTGAGGGTGATAAAGGAACAAAGCTTATGCAGGTAGCTATTTGTCACTACTATAGCCATCAAATATACATATTTATATGATTTTTTTTAAAAAAAAAAAACGAAAAAGAAAGTACAAGAATTAAAGTAGGATGCTTATAATACACTAATAAATGAAAGTAGATTGCTGTTTCTTGAAACATTTTTATTTTTGTCTTATTTTGTCTATACTTTCCCTTTATTTAGGTGGCAAAAGTGCCTTCTGAGGATATAAAGGTATTCCAAAATATGAAATTACTTGAGGGAACAAATAGCAAAAAGAAACACCATGGAGCCTTCTCCCTTAAGTTTGATGCTCACAAGGTAATTCATTTTACAATCTTTAAATCAAAACTCATATTCTCACAAACTTATTCTAACAATTTATTTATGTTATTAGAAACATCACGCGTTAAGAAAGGATAGAACAGGAGGAGGAGGAGGAGAAGAAGAGGAAACATGGCAACTCTCCAGATTTTACCCCATGTTAGAGGTACCAATGCATGAATGGTCCAAGCAAGGGCATTTACGTCTTTTTCACATACACGAAGTCCTTGCCCACCTTTTTTTTTTTTTTTTTTTGTGGCAGGATTTGATTGAAAAACTTGGGAAAAATGATATGCCAAAGGATGAGTACCAATGCATGAATGGTCCAAGACCTAAAAATGCTGCTACTAATGACACGTCAGCAAAGAGTGGGGGCACAGCTAATCATCCAAACTCAAGGAGATCAAGGAGGACTACCAAACCTCATGCACCTGGTGATGCCCATTCCAGGTAATAAAATTCTTCTTCAAATATTGTAAAACATACTTTAATTTATTGTATTATTTTTTTTTTTTTTAAATGTGGAAATTCTGTATTGTTTTTTTGTAGCAATTCTACGAGTACAGCTACAGATTTCAAAAACATGGGGCAGCGTATTTTTGTTTTTATCATTGGTGGGGCCACCAGATCCGAGGTAAAAAATAAATATATTTTTTATTTTTAACTTTTTTGTTGTCTAAAAAAACATGAATCCTAATCCTATGTTGTTTTTTTTTTGTTTGTGTGCAGTTACGTGTTTGTCACAAACTTACTGCTAAATTAAAGAGGGAAGTGATATTAGGTTCAACTAGTCTCGATGATCCAACACAATATATCTCGGTAATATTAATATTAATATATAATAATAATAATTCCTTTAGTTATTCTTTTTACTTAAAAGTAATTTACATTTTTGTCCCTTGAGTAAAGCTGATTGTTTTCAATTTTGGTCCCAAAAAGTTCTCTTGAAATTTGGTTGTTATTTGAGGTTTTGGTTCCTAATACAAGTATTTTGGGGCTAAAATTGCAAAAACTACTCATGGACCAAAAACGTTACAAAAATCTTAAAGACCAAAATTGCACAAAAAAAAATCAATTTTGCAAAAATCAGCCAATACAAAGGGAGAAAAAGTGTAATTTACTCTTTTATTTATATAAGCATGATGTTTCTTTTTGACTAGCATGAACGAGTTAAATACATAAAGTCAAGGAATTGAGGATTTCCCTTGTTATTTTTACAAATTTGACCTTATTTATGTTTTTACTTCTTTTTGGAGTTCATTTTTTTTTTTTTGCTTTACCAATCAATGCTTAATTTTATCCATTTGTGTTGCAGAAAGTGAAGATGCTTTCCGAGTAAGATAACATGCGGATACACGAATTGCATAAATAGTGTTGGTCTTTTTATTTATATTTTTAATGGATATGATGGGAAATATATATACGAGTGTTTTTTAGTTAATATAGAAAAAAGTTGTATAAAAATTCTCATTAGTTGTGGATACAGGACTTTTCTCATTAAGTCGTTAATTTTTATAAATTCTCTCATTTTCTTTTCAACTCCATAAATATATCGCCATTTTCTCAAATAATTTCATCTGTTAAAAATAAAACCCATAAAATCATGATATCATTCTATAAAATTTTAAGCATTTTGCACTTCTATAAATTTTTGTAATGGCAGCATTTGGATACTATATTAGATACCAAACTAGTTGATAAAATTTTGATAAGGTAGTTGAAAAAAGTAAGAGGTAATATAATGTATATTAAAGAAAATTTTAGAAAAGCTCAATAAACTCATTGAAGAAATTTTTTAAAAAGCTCAATAAACTCATTGAAACGTTACTTGGAGTAGCTTTTTAAAAAGCTATGTAACCTTTTGATATGTCAAATATGACAACCTAAAAAAAACTCGATAAATAAAATAGTTTTTTGCATGCAAACATTGCCTAAATATTTAAAGACAAAATCATTAAGATAACAGTTACTAAACAACAATTTATATGTTCCATTACAATTACCATGTCTCATGTGAAAAACAAAAAGAAATCCAAGATCTGAAATATTCAAAAGCATCAAACCCAATTATAATCTAAAACATTAAAAGTTTTCATCTTGTGACATGATGATGATGATGATGATGATGATGATGAATGAGAATCTTGAGAAACTAATCTCTGCGGAGTTGTTCACTTTCACGTCGAACACCATTAGCATTTAGGATTATAATTTCAACACTATCTCCCTGTAAATTAATATTATAATTAATATAAAAAATAAAAATAAAACATCTCGTGAGTAAGAAATTTTTTTTTTTTAAAGATTCCAAACAATGAAATATGAATAACCCATTATAGCAAGCATATGAGTAACTTTTTACTCGTAATAGCAACAACAATTGTATGTTTCTATTATGGATAAAAAACAAAAGCTATTTCTTGCGATTTGTCTTTTCAATAATCCAGTGCTGCAACTTAACTAAATGATCAAAAGAAAAAAAATTTCAACTTGCAAGATTTTTTGTTTTTTATAAATTACAAGGGAACAAAGTATTGTTTCTATTTTTACTTAATGCAGCAAAACAAATTAATAGAGAAAGTCAGGAACATCAAGCTTTCTCCATTAACTCAATGTTCCACTTTTTTAAGGGATATTTACGATGACAAGGGCAATCTTGTCTTTTTTCACTAAGAAGAAATCAAGAAACTTACAGTGTAAATATCTCTCTCTGTTGCTGATGAAAAACAAGTCTTCACCAAATCAATAGCTTCAGCTTCTGATAGTGGTGTTACAGCATCCTGCACCCCCCAAATAAAATTAATAAATAAAAATTATATTTTGTCACTTGCTGACTGGATATGCTAGTCATGGTGTTGCTGACGTGGCATGGAAATGCCATTTTTAAATTCTCACATGTTCCTCGTGTTTTTAATTTGGTCCTTTTTTTATTCCTGCTAAATGTCATGTGAGGGTTAAAAACGTCATTTCAGTGATACGTTAGTGAAAAAGGATACATGTGTAAAATGGATGGAATTCAACCACCAGATTACATGTTTGAGGAATTCAATTCCGTTCTACCCTTTTTGCTATCAAAAGACCATAACACCCTCATTATATATATTTTGAAAAAAGTAATTATAAGTGAATTTAAAATATATTCATTATTTATTATTAAATTCCATTCCAATTCCTGCCAAAGATGGAACTTGAAGAATTCCATTTCCATTTCCATTCCATCCATCTGGCAAACAAACACACATGGAATGGAATCTTCAATTCCCATTCAGTCAAACTCCACGCAAGACACATTTTATGTATTTGCACACACTTACTATGCGTGTATGTGTGTGAGAGAAAGAGAGAGATGAACCTTTGCAGGCAAAAGAAGAGGGCTAGGGGATTTAAGTTGGTTATCAAGGAATGGAGTGATGAGTGTGGCACCAGAGCCTTGAGCACTGTATCCAACTCTTTCATAAGATCCAACCGCATCATATGTGAACACACATCCCTTCCCTTCAAAATATAAATAAATTTATTCCACAATTATATTTTATAATTAAATAGAAATAGATAGATTACCTTCACTATCAAGTCCACCTAAAACATTAAAGGCATAATAAGGGAAGAAGCGTTTGTAGTAAAGGGTGTTGGATAGAAGCTGAGCCATTGCAGGGCAGCTCATTTGTTTGTTGTGCTGGTGTTGATAAATCTGTAGTTATACATACAAATATTAATATTAATATTAATAATAATAATAAAGATCATCATCATCATCATCATCATCATCATCATCATCATCATCATAATCATAATAAGAATAAGAATAAGAATATTATAATAGCAAGAATGGATGACAATATGACATGGCTATCATTGGGTGTAGATCTTTCAAATTTCAATTGCTATAATAGCAAGAAATGGAAGTATGATGATTTAATGGACATATCCATCAAAGTACATTTGCTATTTCTTGCATTGAACCCTTTTTCCATTTTTCTCAAACATTTTTTAAACATCATTTATCCATACAACACTTCATTTAATGGGATAAAAAGAAAAGAAACAAGATATCATGAGCAATTAACTAAAAAAGAAGTTGAAGAATCTTACCAGGTGCCTAGAAGACAAAACCTTTTGAAGTGCTTTCACATCAGCCTGGAATCCTGAAGAAGCCATGAAACTTTTGTCTGCTCTGAAAATATAATTTTTTTGAACCATGTTAGATATTTTCTTTTATTTTATAAAGCTTTATGCTTTTCAGACAAACAAAAATGAAAAAAGTTTCAAAGTGAAAGTAGCCTAATTAAAGTTATAACATCAAATAAAAGAAACAAAAACAACTATATTTTGTTTGCATTACAAATAAATTATGAAAACAACACTTCAATGAGACTCAAGTACTTATTAAGGTGTTGTTTCTAATTTACTTAATGGACTTAATGCGGACAGGATTTAACTCATTAGGCTATATATGAGTGTTTCTTTTTTACTTATTGCAAAAAAAAAAAAAAAAAAAAAAAAAAAAAAAAAAACCTGCAATAATCACTTTCAAATCACACATGGAATACCCCCTAATCTCTTATAGTTTCTATACCATGAAAAGAATCGATTGAATATATTGTATATTTTATGTTACCATCGAGAAATTTAGCAGAACAATTTGGAGTTTTTGAGCATCTAGAAACCCTATGCCCTAAGGGTGGACAAAATTACGATCCAGACATGATTAAGAAACACTAGGGTTCAAATCAACAGCAGAAAGTGAGGAAAAACAACAAAACCTATAAATAAACCAAACAAATTCACACAAAATAAGAAACGAAACAAATCATACAATTTACAGATTTTGGAGTACTCTCGGGTGAGAATACTGTAACCGGTAGACATCCGAGTATCCGCTGCAATAACGCAATAATCCGCACCAGCAATCGCCACACAAGTTCTGCAAAAATACACATAGAAAGATAAAATCAAACATCGAGAACTTTAAACGTATATCTTGAGATATAAAAGAATTAATGACAGGCATAAACGATGTATACCCTCCATTGTTATCGTATGGAGACCAGTTTGCGTGTTCCTTCGGCATGATGGTAATGACAAGTTTGGAGTTCAGATCACAAAACTCACTGTGTGTGTTTGTGTGTGAAGAAGAACCCTTTTCAGCTCTTTCGTTCTTCTATTTCTTTTCTCTCAAGAAAACATGTAATTCGAAAAGGGGAAACTGGTTTGCATTTTGGTCCCCAAGGTTAAGGGTTTTATCACTTTATATCTTCCTTTTAATTTACAGAAAATACAATCATTACAATTTTGGTCCCTTTGTTTTTTTTAATTTGCATGAATTACATTTTTTTTGTCCTAGTTTTTAATTATGAAAGATTACATTATAGTTTTGGTCTATGTAGTTTATATCCAGGGACGGATCCAATGTAGAGCCCGGGGTAATCTGGGATGCCAAAAAAAAAATTAGTATTGTAATCTTTTTTAGGAAAATTTTGTTTTATGCAGTGTATATATACGCATCCATTCACTTATAAACACAAACAAACAGTTGGACGGCTGGTTAAGACGATGGCTTATTGAAGCAAACGTCTTAGGATTGATTCTTGCTCCTTACATATCTTTTGTTTTATTTACCCACATCGTCAAACACATGTTAACTCAACCATTTCCATCTATTATATAAACATGTTATCTTGATGCTTCATATGATATCTACTTTGAGCCCCACATCGATTCAAGTATCAAAAGATACTTCAACTTCATGTTTATATAACAAGACATATAACAAGACTTGAGGTTAGCTAAGGAGTCGATTAAGGTTTGGGTTTAAAATCGAAATCGAACCAGGGAAACCCAAGTACAAACCGAAAACCAAAACACCGAATCGATGGGTTTAGGTTGGGATACCACTTTACTTTGATCCTCCGTCACTGTTTATATATATATATATATATATATATATATATATATATATATATATATATATATATATGCATTTTTAGTCCAATTTTTGAATTTTTAGTATCATTCATTCTTATGGTTTCCAAAAGTTGCATCAGTGTTAAAAAAGTATAGTCTAAATATGGTAAATTTGTAATTTTTATACCTTAAAGTGGAGATGAGCAACGAGTCGGGCCCGACCGAAAACCCGAAGACCGATTTGCTCTTAATTTAGCGACATGAAATCGGACCGGTGTAACATACACGTTTTGAAATCGTGTTTTGTAATGAAAAATATTATGAAATATTATGTGATTTTGAGTATTGAGTTCTAACAGATAGTTTTTACTAGAAATAAAGTAAAACTATGTTTAGAATCACTCGGAAAATATTAGAAGTCTTATAAGATTCCAATCTAATATTGAAATTTAACGAAAATATAAAATTTGAAATAAGTAAAATTTTATTATTGAAAGTTGTAGAGAATCCCGTTAGAAACATTTAGGCGAAAACCTCATCGAAATCCGAGTTATAACGAAGAAGTTATGACCAATCGAAGTTTCGCGACAGAACCGGCACGACGTCGTATAGCGTAAAAAGTGAGTTTTCGATAAACTATTTTTTAGCCTTAGTAATCTAAATGAAAGTCATAGTATTCGTTAAACCGAGAACTTTCATAAAAAGAACGTCTAAATCTGACTTCGTATGAGGAAGTTATGATTTTTCTAAGTTTCGGTATAGCAGTAGACAGCTAAAAACTCGAAATAAAGATCGAGTGATTTTTAGCCGACACAACCTAAACGAGAATCGAAGGTCTCGTTAATAGTAGTACAACGGTAAAAAGACAGACGAAAACGGACGTCGGATGAAGAAGTTATGAAATTTTAACGGACTTTTCCTGTCTCGGCCCGTTAAAAATATAATATTAAAAATAAAGTCAAAATTAGCCGACGGAGTCTAAATGAAAGATGTAGAGCATAATCTCACCTACGCATGGATATAAAGGACGTCAAAAACGGAGCTCGTATGCAAAAGATATGGATTTTTGAAGTTCGGAGCACAAACTTCGAGAATTTGACTGCATTCACGACGTGAACACAGTGTTCACGACGTGAACTCAGTGAACGACACGTTTCAAGCCTAGAAGACACACGGCAAGCCTAGGGGATGACCAGGATCAAAGTCACGACGTGAACATACACGGTTCACGACGTGAGAGTCGATTTTTCAGCCTATAAATAGAAATCGAGCCCTCCGGGTTTATGTTACAAATTCTCACTCTCATTCACTCTCTAGCCTCTCTCAAGCCCCTCTAACACCCCCCCCCCCCCCCCCCCGAAGTCCCGATATCATCCCCGACACCCGAAGCAAGTCCCGACGCTCCGAAGTTCCCGGGAAAATCATATTTTCTAGCCGAAACTCTGCCCGAGTAAGGCCGGTTTTCAACTAAAATCCCCGGTTTCGTCACAGAAAGTCATATTTAGAGTCGAAGTGCTGCCCAAATTAATCTGCAGTTATTTCACGGCGAGTTCAATATATAGGAACAATTGTATGTTATGTGTTATATGTGCTATGTGCTTTCCTGTGCTATCTTGATTTTTATATCATTGATCATGTAGAGCATGTCTCGTATCACTTCTGGTACTGGCTTTGAGCCTTTGGCCATGTAGAGCATGTCTCGTATTATTCTGGTATCGGATTTATGTCTTTGGCCAGGTAGAGCATGTCTCGTATCACTTCTGGTATTGGCTTTGTGCCTTTGGCCATGTAGAGCATGACTCATATCACTTCTGGTATTGACATAGGGCTATGTACGGCTGAAAGCCTGTATATTCTAGCAAAATGATAATCCGAAATTGTATGTCTTCTGTGCCATTTGGGCCGAAGTGTTATTGATGTATATCAAGTAGTTGAAATTGTTATGTCTCATTGATTATATATTATTGAATCAAATCATCGATTGATATGGAAAGTCTGTCATATGATATACATATGCCTTTGTTGTTCCTTGTTCCTCTTTGCTTCTGCCATATTGAAGTATATATATATATATATATATATATATATATATATATATATGACATAACGTTATATTGTATCTATTACTGAACTCACTAAGCGTCACCGCTTACCCCTCTCAGTGTTTAACAATTGCAGGTAATGAGAATCCAGTATAGTCATATACTGTTGGAAGAATTAGAATAGTTTATACTATTACTTTTGTACTTAGGTTTACATATGTATAAAACTATAATATCCTGGGTAGTTATGTAATAAATATAACACTTTGTAATATACTATAACTTAGTCGGTTTGTATCCAGTCTTTTGTAATCACACTATCAATGTAAAATATTATTTATAAATATGCATGTAGCATGTTTTGAAGTAATTTGGAGTAACAATATTGTGAAGTATGAAAGTTTGGGTCTTTCAGAAATACGGAAGTTAGGGTCTTTCAACCGGTTAGGGTGTGCTAGTTCTAGTTTCCCTAACCGAGTTTCGTGTCTTGGACCGGATTTTAACAAAAAAATTGTTTTTTTTCATTCCATAAAAGTACGAATGTTTGTTACAATGTAATAGCAGACACGAGTTGTTGCTTAGAAGTCATAATCTAAATTTCTTGAATTACCTTTACTAAAAACCGAACGGGTTTAGGGTATGCTGGTTTCGATTTTGGGCATGTCGGCTCCGGATCCCAAATCGGATTCCGGGTCTTGGACCGAACTGGACCATTTGTTGGGATAAATGTTTGTTGGACCATTACTCATACAAAGTCATATTGCATTCATAATCATATTTACGTACGATATTAAAATTATGTAAAATACAAGTTTGTGGCTAAACAAATACAAAGATTTATTCTACATTTAAAAATGTTTTATATACGTGTATCATTTTTTATTTTAAGATTAATATCAGTTTAATAACTTAATGTGGAGTGAAATCGTGAATAGATATAAATGTACTGGGAAAAAAAGCCTTTTGATAAAAAAAAATAATAAGAAAAAAAGCCTTTCGTATATGCCTAATATGCTTCACGGGTAAAAACGCAAATTTTTTCACATAATTTTGGAATAATATTTTTTTTTAAGTAATCTCTTCTACTTTTATTTTAATAACTTAATGTGGAGTGAAATCGTGAATAGATATAAATGTATTGAGAAAAAAAGCCTTTTGATAAAAAAAATAATAAGAAAAAAAAGCCTTTCGTATATGCCTAATATGCTTTACGGGTATAAACGCAAATTGTTTCAAATAATTTTGGAATAATATTTTTTGTTTAGGTAATCTCTTCTACTTTTATTTCAATGCCTCAAGTGGCATTATCTACGTCGATCTAATAGGAAAAAAAACATTTTTATATACATCGGTCTGGTCCGGGGTTTTTGATATGTACATATTTATTCATATACTTTGAGCAATATCTTAATATTTTTAGCTAAAATTGTGCTTGTTATTGCACAAAAGGTACTTAATATGTTTGAAATTTATTTTGTAGCAGCAAAGATATGCTCGGAATGAAAATGAAGCAAATGAGAATCTGAAAGCAGGAAAGAGTGGGCTGAGTCAATCAAAGGCGAAGAATCAAGATTTCTGAAGCCCACGACGTGGGGAATTTCTGCCACGCCATGGTGATTAGAAGATTCGCGATCTGAGAAGATATCTTGGAGAGTACACGTGGAAAAAGATTACCACACTGTGGAACCTATTTGCCACGGCATGGGAGCCAAACTTTAGGAAAGTATAAATATTCGGTTTTAGGTCGAAAAGAGGGACTTCTGACCGATTTTCTGGAGAAGGATTGCGACAAAAACCCTCTGGAAAGTATATTGAAGTTCTGAAATCGATTGGAGCTTAATAGTTGAAGAGATCGAGAAGTAAACAACATTGATCTATTCGGTTTGCTAGCTTTAATCATGTATAGTCTTATTTACATTGATTTAGTTTGTTTTTCCTGTTATGATGAGATGCTAAAAACCTTTTACTTTCGTTGGTGAAGATGAACCCCTTGAACTATGTGTTGATGTCGATTTTATGATTAATTATTGTTGGTTTTTCTAGTGTTGATAAATCGATACATGTTTTAGTTCTAGTCTTTAATTGCCTTGATATAAGTTTGGTGTAGTAGATGATTATTATATTTGCATGAACTTGATTCCCTAGTGGTTTATGATAATTACATTCCTAGAGCTAGGGTTGAACAAATCTTAGATTTGGTAATTAAAGCTAGTAACTTTAACTGGGTTAGAGAGCATAAT